TTTTTTTTTTTTAAATAGAACTTTTTAGCCAATAAAATGATTATTTATGTCAGAATTTAATTTTGCTATAAAACATTTGAATGGTGCTTTTGTTTAAGAAAGCAAATTTTATCATAATGGCTTTTTGAAGTTTCTATAGGACTTCTGTGAGCAAACTGTATATGCTTAATTTTTTAGTTCTTATCTTTTTAACTGTCAAGCTGAAAAGCATAAAACTTTATATAGCGTAATCTAGTCTACCTCGTTCCAGAATATACATTTATTTATGGATGGAGCTACATCGTAACACTGGTTTTTTACGGCTCTAATTTTTTCTTTTCTTGAAGAATTTGTCTTTAATTACAGACTGTGCAGCGAAAGCAAAACTATTCGATGCAATACTTGAATTGAGATAAGAGTCCACGCATTGAAATTTCGACTTATGCCAGAAGTTTTATCATTGCTTAGTGTGTACCGTTCAATAAACGTTTATGAAACATTTTTTCATTATTGATTATGCTAACTTATTATCTTGGTTGCCAGTTGTACAGTCTAGTCAGTTCAGTCAAGTGTTGTGAAGGCGTTTTGTTTACTGTTTTAACGGAACGTAACTTTAATTAAGGTTTCTTCTTGAAAAATCACTTATGGTTTAAAAAAAGCACCTTGTTTTGAGACAAAGTATCAGTACAACGAGTTGAAGTTGTCATTTTAAAACTGCTGATAATGAAGATTGCTAGCCGAAGGATCGTTAAACAGTAGTTGTATAGATTCGGCTTAGATCACCAAATCGTCACCAACATCTCACGGTTTTACTGTTGACATTGTTTTCAAGAAAAAAAGAACAAATTTTCTAACCTGTTTTTTCTGTCTCCTCTCGTCTGTTAAGCTTCCTCGGCGTACTTAACTTTTTCACTAACACTTCAACATTCTCAATGACACTTCATCTCTGTCTAGTCGTATTTTTTGATGTCAAACAAAGAATTAACAATAAAAATTAAAGAAAATTGTTTATTAATATCAAAAAAAAATTATTGTTAGATGGTTGATAATAAAAAACAAACTATGAATACTGTCTTTGTACAAAGATCATTGCAACTATTGTTGCTTAACTGAGATAAATCAAATTGTTTCATTTAACACACCATTAATTAATGAAAAAGGATAAAGATTCACATAAAAAGAAGGCGCTTTTTTTTTAACTGTAGAAAATTTTAACAATTTTGTTTGCTTCAAAACCAGAGTTATACTAATACATAAAAATAAAGCACTGTTGTTTACAGTTGTAAATGACGTACAAAAAAGTCATTAATGTCTGTAAAATATACCGCTTTCAAAACAGAATTCGGAAAGCACATCATATTTTACTTCTTCTTTGCTGAAATGACCAAATGACCTCGAGTTGTTAAGTTTGATTTTAACGATTTGGTGTCAACGTCATCTGGTAGAATATAGGTACGATTTATTTCACGTTTAATTTCGCCAAACTGATCAGTTCGTGATTCATGCATACAGTGAATTACCAATTGATTCCCAACTACTTTTACCTTCAAATCGTTTTATAGACTTATTTATTTTAAGAAAAAAAAAACGCGTAGCTAAGTGCTTTATGAAACAGTAAAATATATTTTTAAATCTATCCTATTAATTACACTTTTAGCTAATTTAAAATCCAAAAGCTGAATTTACTGTACAGCATTCACTTCGTTAATTTCATAGACCAATCTCTCATATAAAGAATGCTATGCCTTATTAACAGTCAATTAATCATTCCCGGCTTTATAAAATCTGTTTTATCAGAACCAAATAGCTATATACTCAATTGTTATACAGTATGATGCTTATATCTTCCAAAGAATTGAAAACTGTGTGAAAGGTTTTATAAAATAGCATACAGACTGGTTTCAAATGACGTAAAGAGACAGTTTACCTCAATTTCTTTAGGAGTGAAAAAGGCAGCATCTAGTGCAACTTCAAACTTTTCATTGGTATTGGTGAGGCGAACAACTCCATCATTTTGCTGAAGTGGCCAATCCCATTGTTCTGCTTTCCAGCTGTGAGTAACGTCAACAGTTCTATCTGTCATTTTTGACGGGTCAATAAATGGAACAACCTAAATAATCATAAGTAATTTCTCGTTGTTTTTCTTTTATTTTCTATTCAAAAATATTTCTCGAAAGAAAGCGAAATTACTCGACATTATATTCATCGATATAAGCGCCAAAACAGTGAAGAAATTCTGAGGTATTTTAAACAATCATCTTGCAGATTTGCTGAAATGAACCATATCAAATAAACTTTAGAGAGGC